ATTTACACCTGGAAGTTTCACTGAGTTCAACAGCACAATTCTATGACATAGAAATTCGGTACACTGTTTCCTATAGTTGTCATTTAAATGTCTCAATACTTATGTAGTAATAAATACAATATATGCACAAATATAGATTCTTTGACACCTTTAGCACCGACATTTCTAGCACATGAGCTAGATCAATAAAGGAGTTGGTACAACTTGTACAGACTGAACATTTAAACAGGTTTATTCCTGAAATTTCCATGTTGTTTTTTTCTTTAAGCATTTAGAAATTATGTTGCAACTTAGCAATGATAATGCTGTATTTCACAAACTGCAGAATTGTACACCAATCCCCAAATGCTTCAAAACTTAAATACTTTTCTCTGCAGAGGCACTGCAATTCTTTCTTGCTCACATTTTGTTGTGTACTTTTTTCTTTCTTCTTATCATTTTTCCTTATTCATTCTGATGACTTGTCAAGTCTCTTATACCTGTGATCAGCATCACACAAAATGCTTTAATCCAGTAATTTAGTAGTCTCCTAGGACAGAGACTCTTAGAACTGAATCCTCACCTCTAAACTCAGCCTCCCTTGAGATGAGTACTCAATTACTACATTGAGAGTGGCTGGGACTTTTCTGTGGGCTTTCTTGTTCAGTTTTCGTTTGTCAGGTTTGGGTAGCAGTGTGTAAAAGAGGTGTCTCAGGCTCTTACCTAAGAGCATTCTGGTGTCAGAGAAATAATGTCTTTTGAGGAAAGGGTTAAGGTCGTACCCTTCAGTATTTTCGAAAAGCCTGACTATTTCATGTGAACCCTCTTCAGCTAGCAAGTTTCTGTGACACCTCACTTTCCCCATGCACTGAAAAAGGAGAAAATATAGTTTGCTTGAAGAGCTCTCAGAAATTAGGTATTGCAGTACTTAAAATCTTCTGTGGATCCCTATCAATCTCTGATGATGTGGGAAAGAAGGAAATCATGCTGCATTTATGTCCACTACAGCATGTGAATTCCTACACATTACTATACTATAATTGCAGTTAGGTACATAGAGATGCAGATTCAGAATATCCATTTCTGATGTCCTCATATCCACATGGAGAGGTAATTGAAATCTCACAGCTGTGCAGAATACGCTTCCTCTTTATCAGTGACCAATATACAGTATTTTTGAGTATTAAAACATTTCATTTCCAGTCCTTCCCTAGTTAATGATGGCTTTTAAAGAACTTAATTCACCCTCTTTAAATGTGATAAAACCAGTGGAGTCTCACCAGGAATGTATTTGATTTGTTAACAACAACAGCTTCTTTTATCTTTGTTTCATTCATATCAGAGAATTCAAACGCCTTTATAAACAAAGGAATGAGTTCAGATACTAATGAAACTCAATCATCCATAGGTGAAATGCAAATTTCCCCTTTAAAAAAAAAAAAAAAAGAAAACCTCAAGATAAAACTATTCAGCACTGGTAGTAGAAAACAATCTCCTGAGGTGAGAGAAATTGTCTTTAACTGAGGTTTTTTTGTTTGCTTTTTTTTTTTAATTCCCCTGGACAGAGGAAAACAGCTTGTATTTCAGGTTGAACTACAGCCAGAGTTTTAGAGGAAAGCTGAATTAGGCCCTTAACACAAGCAAATATGAGAAAGATGACTTATAAACCCACTGATCGCTGTCTCAGCTAGTTGAGAAATGCTCTATGAATCACTTATTTGGGTAGGGGCATGTAAGTATAAGCAAGGAAAGAAAAGTCATTCTCACAATGGAAGGGTTTAAGATATCAATAAAGCACATTTACAGCAGTAACATTAAACAGTTAACTGAGATTCACAGTTTTAAAAGCAGAAGTCATTTAGCTTGCTAATTACAACTGCAAAATTGAAGTATTCTTCAACTATTTATGAGGTACGAAAGACAAATGTGAAGATAAAGCATTAGAACATTTGAGACCTGACTATTTAGGATTTTCTACAAAAACAGTCTCATCTGAGTCCAGCAGAGTCCCTCTGAAGGGACTTTAGAAGCACCTTCAGTCCCTCCTGCTTAATCCCCATCTTGCATTACAATTTTAGATGCTGTTGATCCTTCATTTGATTGCTTTATCACATTGGCTGGGTGTTCAGCATGTGAGAGGCGTCAACTGGATATTGTGAATTGAATTCTTATATGCCTGCAGAAAGTTTGATTCAGTGAAGTAACAAGTCCTTTTGCAGGATGATCAGGTCACAAACAACAGATGTCTAAAACAATTCATCTGATCCCTGTGGCTTCTGACCCCTTCTTTTCTGCAGGTATCACAACCATGAGAAAGTGAGCTGTGACTTATACAACAGCTCTTGGTGAACCATATCCAGGTCTATTTCTTCATCCTTTCTTTTCTGAAATTCCCTGCTTCTCTTCCATTTTATCTACAGCTATGATTATGTTTTCAATCAGAATATATTACACCATATAACCTAGTAGATAAACAGCCAGTTCTGTGGTGGAATATATACATCTGGTCACACCCCTTCAGATACACCTGGAATGATCTGCAACACAGTTTATGCTTATCAGGGCTTTGAAAAATTCCACGTATCTTTTGGCAGCAAGGGGGTTAAGGTTTCTTCCCAAGGAAACTTTAAAAAGGTCATTAATCTGGTTCTGAGGCATATCCAGATAAGAAAAGCTAAGAAAGCTACCCTCTGCATAAGAAAGCAGCAGTTAAATATACCAAGTGAAGGAACCTGAAGACACTTTTACATAAAGCTGATCTGAGTTGATCTCACAGGATTACAAGCTATATCAAAAAGCAGTGCAGGGAAATGAAAGCCAAGGCACAATGTCCATCAAAGTAGTGTAGCAAGGTATACAAACAGCCCTTTGATAGCTATCAAGCATTGAATGATGCTGTAATGGCACTGGCACTAAACATGATAAAATCCTGTAGTGGTCATCCACAGTCATTTGTTGGGCAGTTTCATGCTAAGTGGGGTTGTGCATGCTGTGCTATCCCTAGGAGAATGAAATTAACTCTGGAGGCTTGTTTTTATTTCTCTAGGAAAAATATTTCCAGGGGGAACATGTGATAAAAGCTACTCCTGCAACTAACTCTCTGGACAATACCCAAGGGTTGCTCTTCTACGGAGTAAGTAAAGGAAAGGAAAGAGTGAGCTGGCAGATACTCCCTCTGTGTCTCCCAAGCTCTTAAGAGCACCTGGAAATCAGGTTTTGCACAATACATCTCCTGTTGCCTATCTGCATGTTTTTCTTAACAGCTATCAGCTCTCATGCCTCCAGAATAAAGACTATGATGAAATCTATCATAGGGAACAGTCCTTGTCCTTCCATTTTTCATCCTCATTGGTTAAACATTTTGGGTGGGAAGGGCTCCTCCATTTGAGTTCCTTTTCTGTCCTCTGTCCATCTGCCCACTCACCAGTCTACCTACATGAATAAAATCCACATTAAATATGCAGTGGTGATGCTAGCAGAGATATGCTGGAGAACTTGCCACTAAATAATGTCATTTAGCTAATTAGGTTACACTGCTAATAAAGCTAATGATAGAAACAATAGTTTTGGCAACAAGAACCGGGAACTGTGGAGGAGAATGTGATTGCTGCTTGGATCATATTCACCTTTTAAAGTGCCATTTTGATGATCATAAAGCAAGCACTGCTTGGTGGGAAAAGAGAGTGCTTTCAGAGCTGCACGGATCAGTAATAAGTACAGAATTGGCAGATTAAAAAGGCTGTTTAAGATTCTGGGTGCCTCTCATACCAAGCTCTGCATTCTCCAGAGTTCAGGAGCTTACAGCCAGCATCTTCTGGAAACGTGTCACCTTTGGTTGCTATTGATCAGTAGCTACCTACTGTAGATTCAGCTCACCAGCAACAAAGTACTGCCATCACCAAGGGTGCTACACAATAGTGCACAGAGCCTTTTGATGACTAAAGTAAAGAAAAAAGATATCTTTGAATAAGGTCAGAAATTACTCAGTGATAACATGTTTTCATGTTATCTGTGAAAGCATCACCATGGCTCAGTTGACAGAGGTGAGAGACTTCTCCAAAATACTGAGAAACAATCACATAGGGTATCTTGGGGTTTTAATACTGAAAAGAAGGAGCTTCTTTCCCTTGTTTTTAATCTTCATTTTCACCAAACTGAATCCACACTATTTTACTTTGTTTTTATGCCCCAATCATTTGTGAAAAGTGAGTTAATGTACCAGCAAAATATTTTCAAAAGGTGGTCTTTTTAACGTACAAAAAGCAAATGTGTAGCAATTCCTATCAAAAATGAAAATATGACTATACATTTAAATAGTTAAGCCTGAGTAAAAAAAACTAAAGTTATGATAAATGTGATGCACACAAATCTCCAAAGTCTACACCAGCACATTAATCCAGTTTACAGTCTAGTCAACCTGTGGACTTTCTGCCCAACTCCTTTCCTGGAAACCTGTGCGCCACAAGGTCTGGAGCTGTGCTACAAGTGTTCGGCTGAGGGGGGAGCTGATCTTCTACCACATTGTGCGGTTTGTAGAGAAACCACAGGTCCTCCAAAGGTTGAAATGCGAAATAACCATTGCTTTTATTGTCCATTTCCCTAAAAGTGTGTCAGAAGGAGGAATAAAAGTCTTGACAGGTTCTTATACAAGATAGGAAGGAGAGAAGAAGACACAGACATAGTTCACCACTCTGCAGATCCAACAGCGTCTTCTTGGTTGGCGGGGTGAAACCCTTTCAGTGGTTGCAGCCCTTTCTTTCAGTCCGTGATCCCGCTGTCCCACACTCACACCTCGCAGTGTAGCAGTTGTCCTTTTCATCGGGCCATGGTCTCTCAAAGCCCTCCCGCAGGCGCAGACTCTCATGCCTGCACACGTGCCACGAGATGCCCTGGAACATTCCTGGCAGGGCAGGGCCTGTGGTGAGCTCCAGGCGCGGTCACTCTGTGCCCTGAGGCGCAGCGCGGTGGTGGCAGCTGCAGGATCTGTGCCGCTGTCTCTGGGCTCCTTGTTGCCGAGGCTGTTGATATTCGTGGCCTCAGGGCAGACACCACAGGAAAAACATCCCCTGCCTTTCTGGAGACCATCCCTGCTCTGCCACTGGCCAACAACACGCTGCTCACCACCGACAGGTGCTCAGCCTCCCTCAGCTCCTTCTCTCCTTGAGTTGTTGTGACACACACAAGAAGGGTCTCCTGCCCATCACAAGAGACTTATTTTTGTATACTCAGAGGAGGGAAAAATCTGTGCAAGTTGCACTGACCTGTTCTTCTCTGCAGTCCCCAAGATCACGGCAAGAGTTTTTTCAGTCCTCTGGCAGGTGGTAGAAAGGTCCTTTTGAGACCATCAGTTACAATACTCAAGCAGAAGAAGTTTGTCATGCTTTGAGTAAGTGTGACTTTTCGCCTTGAGGAATCCCTTACAAACCTACCACAGGAATGGTAAAGAGGGGGTTGTAGAAAAAGCAATGTTGAAGTCACAAGAGAAGACACCAGTACTACTAGATACACACAGTAAAATGCTGCATACATACTTTATCTCAGGCCAGAACTGCAATGGATTTTCTTATCCATTGAATCATAGAATCATAGAATGGTTTGGGTTGGAAGGGACTTCAAAGCTCTTATACTTCCAAGCCCCCTGCCACAGGCAGGGACACCTTTCACTGGACCAGATTATTGTGGACTTTTCTGAGGGGTGTATCATCATGGATGTGATTCTCTTTTCTCTAAGTTTCTGCAGTTATTTCCCATGTGTTTTTCTCCAGCATTTACAAAAAACACATTCCATTTAGAATAATGTTAGTTTAGTCACTTTCTAACTGGTTATACTTTGGGAGGGGCAAAGTTACTGAAAGGCAGTATTTTTCTTTATTAGCAGCCTCAGTTTTGTGACCACCAACTGAAAGACTTCCTTTTACTTTTGTAAGTTTTTCACTTTTATTCACTTTTCTAACTTTCCAATGGCAATTAGGAATGACTGGACAAAATATATGTCAATGTCAGGCTGTTAGTATATAATTAGTAAAGGTGTTTGTGCTTAAGAGCATATATCTGTGGGAAAACAGGGAGTTGGGGGTAAGGTTCTTAAAGTCTAAGGTCCAGTCTTAAACATAGGCTGTGTATTTACTGAATTATTTACAAAACCTGGGAAGTTCTGCAGCCTGCTATTACAGGAGGCAATATTTGGCAGGCTTAATAGAAAGATGTGCCCTTCAGACTGCTCTTAGTTTGTCCTATCATGTCTTTTTCTATCTCCTGCCTTATAACATTCTGTATGCCGTGCAAACTGATACAAATTCATTCCTCAGTGGTCATACACAGAGGTTAATAAGCTCCCAGCAGTAGCTGACTTGGCACTAGAGAAGAAATACTCTCCCCTACCTCCAGTTCAGAAGCATTACCTTCATATCCCCTTCCCTGTTTTGGGAAACAGTACTGACAGTAAGTCTTTTTCCACCCCAGTTCTTCTGGATATAGACTGGCAATGCAGTAAGCTTCTCCTCTTGTCCTGTAACTGAGAGGCTGTGTGTTGTGCAAATTGCTGGTCAGTGTGATATGACACTGAGTCAGCCGGAGCCATCAGGTAAGGTGTACCAACATTGTTCCCTATGTCAAACCACAAAATAGGGCTTTCAGAGTTAAAAATAATCGTTTGTTAGGTCAAAGTGTAGGACAAGCATGTTACAATAGAGAAAAAGAAGATTTTGCAGGGGAAACAAATTAAACCGCCTAAACACCACTCTGTGTCCGTCTTTCCTTGTGACCTTGTCCTCCATCCAGCAGTTTTCACCTTGGATTGCAGCAGACTCCCTCTATCTCAGAAAGTTTCCTTTCTGCCACTTCTGTGTCTATGCTCTCTGCTTTCCCGCAGTTCGCATGCCAGCTGCAGGCTCCCTGCCTGCTCCACCCTGCACTTGCCACAGGTTTTCCAGCAAAGCCTTAAAGCTCACTCTCAGAGACAACACCACCTCCCTCTCCATTCAGAGGGTGCAAAATCAGGACAAAACAAAGCAGCAGATTTTGACCTTGCTGTCCAGCAGAGCCTTTCAACAAAACACACTGTGCACGGAAACTGTGAACAAACAACTCAGGCTGTGACAGGGTGGTGAACGGTAGGAAAGGCTAAAAGAATTTAAGAGATTATTGGAGGACAAGCAACTAATCCCCATATGTATTTCCCCCACGTTTCTTACGTTGTAAAATGTCACTCACTTGTATAGCCAGGAAGCAAGAGAACTTGCTTGTTTAAGAGCAACGGATCAGGCAGGTACTGAGGATATTCATTACTTAGAAGGATTCCTTCTACGGTGATAAAAGAACGTAGTTATCTGTACTGGCACAAACAGCAAGGTGTCTCTGCCTTGTAGTATTAGAGCCAAAATATGACACTTTCTGTGCCTTAAATTCATATTTATCTATTTTTTTTTTATGCTCAGAAGACATGTACAAATCCCACCATAAAATAAATAGGGTTTTGCTCTGAGTGCTGAGAACGTTAGAGGTTAAAAATGTTCTCTATCTCCTGCCTTATCCATGCCCTCCCATCTCTCTATATTTTCATACATATGCAAGTTTATGCTATAAAATGTTCCTAGCAAGAGATTGCTGTTAAAAGTGCTATGCATTATACCTGATAAAATGTTGAGATAAAATGGAATTACAAAAATATGTGAAATACACCTTGGACAGTGTACAATACTGCACTGGAAAATGTACCTCACAGGAAACTACAAAACCTGTAACCTAAAGCATGGCACCAATCAATCTATGAGGAAAACTAATATGCAGTATGCCTGGGTTTCATGTCTTCAGCAAGCATATTCACATGATAAGGCTTTTATCATTTCAATATGCTGCACCAGAATGGAAAGAATAAAAAATAACTTGTCACCAGTTTGGAATGAGGTCTGTAGCAGTCTGCTGGAAAGGAAGCAGACCATAAATGGGGGAAAAGGAGCTGTCTAAATAGGAAAGGCTTTCTACAAAAAAAAAACAAAAAAAAAACAACGAAACAACAAAACAAAACAGAACAACTGGAAGAATAAAGACAATTGCTATAGATTTTTTTTTTCCCTACATATTTTTTCAGTTACAATCCTCAAAAGGTTTGGAGACAGTAATTAATGTAAATGTTGCAATATCCTCAATTTACCTTCTTTTTATTTTCTAGCTCCTTGAAATTTGATAATATAAGCAATGTTGAAGATTTTTTTTTCCACCTTTTCCATTCTTCTAGACCCTTTGGTTCCTTAAACAGTCATTGAAGCACCAAAAGAAATATTAAGCCCTGTAATCTTTGTAGTCTGCAACTTTTCCAACACTCAATTTTTTAAAGTTAAAGAATTCCTTCTTTCACTATTCTGAACTTACACAGGTGCAAAGTTAAGAATATAAAAATAAACCTTAACAGAAGTATAACTCAGTATATTAAAACAAACAGCAAAAATAGGGTAGGAAGAGAAAGGACAAGTAAGGGAAGTAAAAATTAACAATAAAAAAGTTAGAATACTTTTTCCAAAGTAGTTGCTTTAAAAAGGCATATATACGTGCATATTTTGCTTGTGTCTTCTAGTTCTATCTTTACAGCACTGGAAGAACTGCAGTACACCATTTATTTATGGTTTTGGCTTTGTGCAAATGTTTCTCTGCTTTTCAATTAATTGTACTCATGCCGTGTAAATACCTGTGGCCAAGACTATCCCCCTGGAGTGATACAGGATGCATTACTAAGCAACATTTTTTGAGCTTGCTTTGGTTTTGCCTTTTTTGTTCTCTCCTGGAGTTCTTTTTGTTGTTTGCTGTTTACCATATGAATGCACAGAGAAGTTCTACCAGGGCTTTTCTGCAAACAGCTATGCACACAGCTATGTAAAGACTTCAGATAGCCCATGGAGAAGACCATAGCATTTGTTAACTAACTTTGAATCTGATGTCCAGAAGCAGAATCCCACCAGAAAGTGGGAGTAGAGATCTGAAGCATTTCTACTCTATATTATCATTACTCTTTAGGTGGATGGGTCTTCTACAGGCTTACTCCACAGCAGAAAATAATGAACTTTTTTTCCCTTAGTATGCACTTTGCATTTTTTGGAAAAGTAATCTGAGCACATAAACTAGATGGGAGCCACGGAGCACTCCAGCAAGATCCCTTAACTAGGTGATCAGCTGTGAGGACTTGAAGACATGCTAGATTATGCAGTCTTTGACCAGCTGTTGGCACAACTTAAGCTTGTCCGAATCTCACCTTAACTAAGGACAGAACACACATACAATAGAGCTCCTCATATCATTGAAAAGCTAGTATGAACCTGAAGGTCTAAATGTGTATCTCTGCACTTAAAATGATTTAAAACTATTAATGCACATATATGCTCTAAAATTACCAACCCAAACAGCAGAAATGTAAGCACTCTTATGTTCATAGATCTGGGTTGTACAAAGTGTTCTCAATACAGAATACTTTGACAAAAGCTAAAAAACACAAAATCAAACTTCTTGTCATTTTTCTTCTTTAGGAAGAAAAAAAAGAAAAAGAGGGTATAGACAGCTTCTGAAGCTGCCGTTTGAGAATATGAAGCTACTCAGCTCCTTAAATCATATCTTCCTGCTTTGCTCTTTTATTGAGACCCATATTTTTGTTGATGCCAGTATTGGGTATGACATGGCAGCGGTTTCAAATGGGTTTGCAACTGACCAGTACCAATCAGAAAAGGTAAGTTTCCAGATGTTTATGACAAAACGCATCTCTACAGACAAGGAAATCTTATATTGGTATGATACCAGCAGCTCCAAGGCAACCTTGACATAAATTTTCAGCAAACATATTCCTGTCATTGCTAGCTGTGCTATCCTATCAATTCGGTGTGATTATCTAGTCCAATACCAGGGATCGACATTTAATAGATGGCTCCAGCAGCAATCCTCTGACACCATCAGCTAAAGCTTGTTCTCACAATCTTCTTTACTCTCATCTTCATTGCTGTCTGCAAGAGAGCTTCCCAGTTCCATGAATTGGCATGTAAGGGTAGGTATTTACTTCATAAACTCCTGCTGTTTCTCAGCTGTTTGTTGGTGCAATGTAGAATTTTCAATACACCACATAATTAACCATTACTAAGAAAGTAAAAACAGGAGCGAGAAGTGTTTGTTGTTGAAGTGTAGGAGAGAAAAACGTGATTTGTCAGGGTTGTTCTTTCCTACTGTTTTTAAATTGCACCATGCCTTTCCCAAAAATGAATTCATGGAAGACTATGGTATTTTTACTAGTCATCTCTACTCATGGAAATGGAAATGCCTGGCTGCCCTCCAGAAAAATAAACTCCATGTGAACAGACACCCCCCCCCCCCCCAACACTCTAACAGGGCAGCAGTGCAGATGATTACAAGACATGTACACATAGGGATAAACACAGACATCCCTACATATTTTAATATAAACATTCATTTGTAATGAGCTAGCAAAACTAATTTGGGACAAAAGTCACATTCTGGGAAGTAGTTACAAGAATAATTTTATTTTGGGGTTTCACACTCAGGGCAATTGTACCTGTGTGATCTTTCCCACTGAGCACAGAAACCATTTTTGCAAGCACTAAAGCCATTTGGTGGGGATGGTCAGAGACACTCTTGTAATGCCTTTCCCACTGAAATGTATTGTCCTCTGAGGGCACAAAGATCAAGGCATGAGGCTACTAACAACTTGATGACTGTATAACTTCACTGTGATGCTATGAAATAACAGCATGTATTACATGTAAATATATTGAACTAGCAATTAAGCTTGAAAGTAGGTTGTATAACCACCAATTAAAAAATCCTGTTCTTATTATACCAAACTTACATAGATGCTGCTTTCTCATTTCCTAATTTATATTCTCTCACATGGTGTTGCCTTTGTTTCTGCTTCATTCTTGGCCTTCCTGACTACAGTCCTTTTTTGTCAGAATACTCCCACAGCTTTTGCTACTTAGTGTTTCCTAAATGTCTATCATCTCTACATCTAAACTGCATAAAGCATTACTTTGCTACCAAAAATATCTGCTGTGAGGGATCTCATTTTGCTATTTGATTCTTCTATGGACTGTTTCCATTTCCCCAGCTATCTTGAGATAGGGAGACCAGCTGTTTGCTTTTTTCACTTCTTTCATTAGAGTTCACACTTCACCTCTAGAGATACCCTGCGAGAGCAACTGTCTTCCTACACCAAAACCCTCTGGAGATGTATAAACATTAGTGATCATGTTAGGAGTACTAACGTGTGGAAACTTACCCATATTGCATGTGCTGCCTCTTGAGTTCTGCACAGGCAGCAGTCAGTCTTACAGTGTTCCTCCGTCCGAAAATGAAAGAGTGGATGAAATAAGAAAAGTTCTGTGCAACTGCGGGAACATATTTGTTTTCTCTTTATAAACACATTTACCGGGCAGACATCCAAATCCAGCGAAGTTCAGCCTGACAAAGCACTGATCCCTGTGGAACCATGGTTGCTGTCTCTTCAGGGAGAAGCTCTGGATGCTGATGCATCCCCATCCACTTCTGTTCCTCCTAACTAGGTGCATTGTCAGCTCTGTGGTCTCTCCCTTACCTGTGAAAGTAAGGCCTTTTGATTATGTGAATGGGTTAGAAATTTCATTTTTTTGTTGCTTTAATTACTGTTCTTACTGTTTCTTTTACTTGATCACAATGAAGATTGTTGTCGTATCATCCTTGTCACCAAAGTTTATTAGTCACTGAATAGAAAAAGCATCATCTGACGCATACCCTCTTTCCCTTAGCTTCAACCCTGCAAGTGTTTGCAACTTCTCTTGTCAGACAATAATGTGCTGGATGCAGCAGTGTTTTTAATTACTTCAGTCACCATTCTAATACTACCATTACGCCCATAATATGTACCCATATAAATGGAAGCTTACTGTTGAATGCAAGTGTCGCCAACCTTCAAAATGGATGGTCACTTTAACAGTGTTATAAAAGGAAAATTGTTTTTTAGCCAGTATTATCAGAGATTTTATCTGTAACTAGTTAACTTGACAGCTTCATGGAAACTTCTGTATCATGTAACTGTCTTGTTTGATTTTATTTCCTATTACAGTTTTTAATTCGTTTAATTAACATTATAGCCTTATTAAGCAATGGTATGTTTTTAATGCAGCTCATTTGTAAAACAGGTAGTAAGTTACACTGCAATGGACCCATTGCACTCAAGTTTTCTACAGATTGCACCCCTGCTTGACCCATGACTGAAATTAGATACAGCCTCAGATATTTAAATTCCTGCAAAATAATATGAAACTGTGATAAGCAGGAGTGGATAACACTTGTAAGTCCTTCTTTGGCAAAGCAGGCATAGCAAAGAGTTGCAGGGGTTTTCTGTGGCCTAGTCAGATAAAAGTGCAACTTCTTTTAAGGCAAACAATAACACTTTTTCTAACAATTTGCTATTTACATACAGTTTTTTTGGTTGGTTGGTTGGTTGATAATAATTCTGGGGTTTTGGTTTTTTTTTTTTTGGTTGGTTGGTTGAGGGGGGGGGTGTGTTAGTTTTTGGTGGTTTTGTTTTGTTTTGTTTGTTGTTGTTTTTTGTTTTAATAAAGATTTTAGCCCAGAAAGTGGTAGAACTGAATTATAAAAGAAGTGATAGAAAGACCTGTATGATTCATCATCTGTTGATGGAATGAGGCTTTGTTAATTGTTGCCACTCGCTGCATTTAAGGTTGGAAATAGGAATCGCTTAGTAACGTCAATCTGTCAATTTAAGATGACATTCAAAATGTGCCTCTCTTTTGAGTCCTTTCAAAGAGATTGTTTCCTACCATAGGTCCCATAGCATGGTTTGATGAGATAAAAATTGTTTGTTGGTTTTAGTTAGGTTTTAAAAGTATTTTCTATCAATTTCTTAGTGCAATTTTAATTACATTATATTAAGCACTAAAGGCATTTATTTAAATATGCACTGGTCAAAACTACATGAGAGTACACATTATTCCCTTATTTTCTATTACGTTAATTTTGTATGATAGCTTGTTGCTTTAACTGAACTAAAACAAAGTGGATGTTAGTCTAATTTCTTTACATGCCTGTGATTAAATAAACAGCCTCTAAGAATCCAAGTATTTTGTTGTGACACTGTATTAGTCTTTCTAGTGTCCTAAAAACAGAGTGCGTTCAATAATACTTTTTTTTTTTAAATACAGAATTAGAAAACAAACAAAAAAACAAAACACCAACCCCCCACAATTACTATCGCAACTGTCTAGCTTCACGCTTTCAGTTGGCTTGTCAAAATCTTTGTAGTTGTAGATGACGTGCAGTACTTAAAAATATCCTCTAGATGACACTGTTTACTGCATTTAAAAGATGCGCAGGCGTTTTCAAGAAATATCTGTAAACTGAACGAAATACATTTGACAAGTACTGTTTAAGCCTAAACCTGCTCTCTTGACGTCAGTGGCCAAGATTTCAGTAGTTTCAGTGGAAACAAGAAGAACGCCTATATTTATATATAAAACTAAACAAAAATCTTGTACTTTTCTTTCACAGAAAGGACTGCTCTTTAAAATACAGTTTTCATTGCGTCCTAAGCTATAAAATGTAACATAGGAATGCTTCCTAATTACTGAAACGCCTTCTTACATACACACACATACTTAAGTATTCTTGATGGCTTTGTTTAAAAACGGCACTGTATAAATATTAATCCTTCTTTCCAACTATTCTTTGTTCTATAATCTACATTCATTGTAGCACAGTCAATTTGAGTTCATTAGATCAGTTACTGCTGTTTAGATGTAAATGTCTTCAAGGAGGATTAATTACTGTCTAATTCTGTTGTGTTTCTTTTTTTTTAAAAAAAAAAGGATAATAAAGATATTTTCTGACGTTTTTCTGATTAAACAAAACCAAACCAAAAAAAGCAAATCCAAACCAAACAACTCCTCATGCACCTCCATATAACACAGTTCACAGTAGATAAAATTTTGGAAAGCATCTGTGTAATATTTTGGTACTTGAGCTAGTAATTTAGGTTAGGTTGATGCGTAGAAAGCCATTTAGTGGTTGAAATGTCCATGCTCAAATTGTCTGTTCCCCACAGGGGCACCTTGGTTGCCTCTACAACAGGTGGGAAGAGTGAAACTTTCCAAAGTGCTGTCCTTCAAGATGAATGAGGCCATTCTTTTCTTTAAACAAGTCAGAGAAGAAGGAACTGACACATGTAGAGCACGTAGCTGTGCATGTAGCAGTAATATTTTGAAAAACTTTTCAATTTGCACGTCCTTACAGATTCTCTTAAAGAGTAAGAGAGCTCTGTTCAGAAAACTGAAAGTATCTGTTAGTAGGAATGTTTTGAGCTACCTGTTACAGACCTCTTAGAAGTGGTAAATGAACAGCCAAGAGCTCTTGAATCACAGGCTGGTAAATCCTGACAGTCCTTCAAGGAAGCAGGAGAGCCAAGAGCTTTTTCCTTCTGTCCTTTGTGATTTTAGCATGCACCACCCTTCCATTAGCAGAGTATCTTAACCTGCAACTCATTGCTTACTTGTGGAGGGTCAGGCTTACTGACATTATACAGGGTTTTCTTAAAATGATAGTTACATGAAAGGAACATGCACTTTTCATGGAGCAGGGAATGTGAGCCAAGACTCTCCCTCCAGTCTTACCAACTATGCTCCAGAGTCAGCACACACACACAGCCTGTCCCAGTAGGACTTTAACCATCTTATCAAAGAGCACAGCAGCACCAGGAGATGCAGCTAAGATACTCTTCCAGAAATTAGGAGCTGAGATACCAAGTCTGTAAACACAGTAATTGACTGAGTGCCTTCTGGGCTAAAGGGATATTAAAACCATTTAAACACAAATTTCATGGTTGTGCTTAAGAATAAGGTAGAACAAAATATATTATGCTTTACACAAAGCTTGATTTTGTAAGCATGCACGGCTTTATCCAGTAAGAAGAGAAAAAGCGTCTTATTTGTAGGTCCTGATAGGGCTTGATATATGCATTGCTCAGACAGGCCAGGACTAAAAGTCCTTTGAACAGTCACAAAAGTACAAGTTCAGCTTCTCAGAAATTTTAACTATGAACATTTTCCACTATGAACTGTGGAGAAACTCCTTCCAGTTTGATGACATTTAAGTTCAGACTTTGAGGACTGTATTATGATGCCTATATTCTGTCTTTGGACAACTAAGATCTTTTTAAAACGGTTTTTTGAGATTTTGCTTTTTTTTACCACCTATCTTCTTAGTAGTCTTAGAGTATTATGCAAGATTCACTTCACATCAGAGCAAGCAGTATCAGTGTTAATAACAGAATTTGTGCCAGTATGCTCTAAATCAGAGCTGCCTTAGGCTGTGTGGGAATGTTGACATAATAATTTGTAATGCTAACTTAAAGAAAGAATGCAGTTAAAAAAATAACTATGAAAATAAGACTCATGCCTGTATTTTGTGGCGAGGAGCTGTATTTTCCACATTATTTTCTCTTAATACTCGCAAGACATGCAGGCCTTGATCTTAAAATGAGTTCCAAGCGCCTTAAAACACATGTTCAGGCACAGCACATTTCTGATACAAGACCATTCCCCCCCAACCTCCCATTTAGGGAGCCAAAACATATGAGCTTCTGAAAGATAACCAGTTAGGTTCAACTTCTGTATTGAAATTGAATACTCATATCCATTTAAAAAAATAATATGAAGAATTAAAGAGATTAATCTTTAGCTGTAGAATGCCAAGTTTTGCCAAAAGCTTTCTTTTTTACCTTACATCATTTTACATTAGATGCTTCCAAGTGACAGGTGGTGCTGGCTGAAGAATACCTGGGTAGTTGTTCCATAGAGAAAGTATGGGGTGGTGACCCACCACAGATCAAGGTAAGATAACAAACACTTCTATCAATGGAATGGGGATTTTCACACACAAAGACTCAGATTCAAGACCAAATACTTAATGGGCAAGAAAACTGAAGGCTTACAACTCCACTGGTTCTTTCATAGTAGCATACATAGGCTGGTGTACAGAGAAAGATTCTTGCTATCCCATCTATAAAAAATGGGATCTCTAGGGCTAGCAGAGACAGTCTCTTCATTCACTTAATCATGTTAATAAGAATTTCATAGTTTCCAGATTAAAAAAAATCTTATTTCTGTCAGTAAGAACAGCATACTATTGTGCTGAATGCAACTGGCTACTCTCATTATACATCCTGAAGTCCTCTAGCACTCATGCTGTAAAAAAAACACCTCTTCACTAAGACTCCCTACATTCTTCATTCAAGGATCAGCTGAACAATGTAAATCAAGCAACAGCTGAAGCTCACCTCTGAAGTGACTGGTGTTCAGTATATGAAGCTCAATAAATTGTGCAGGTGTTTTGAGGGATTGACAGCAGTGCAGCAGTGGGAAAAAAAAGGCTTTGCAATTACTAATCCTCACTGGTTATGGTAATAGCATAGGCAGGGTGGATCTGGTTTTACAGTGACTGCCATACTTTGTAATGCCTGAGAGTAAAGGAAATGAAATAAACTTACAATTTTTGTATTATAGCTTCGTGAATCTTCTAGCATCACATGCATTTCATCTGAGCCTTAAATCCAAGAAAGTCTGTAGGTTTCTTTTTTTACTGTGTAAACTTGCTGTCTTTGGCGATAAACACTTACACAGATATGTATTGTACAGAAAAAAGAGATTGCCTAAACAGGACTTTGAGAAACTTGAGTCACTGTTTTCCAAAATATTGTTTCTTGGAAACAAGTATCCTCTCTTCATCACAGGCCTGAGGTTTGCAAGCATGGATACAAGCTAATCAGCCAGAAGGCCTTCAGTCTATCCAAGCTTTAAAAAGATAAAGGAAAAAGACAGAGATATGAAAGGGAATTTGAACAGTGATCCCTGTAAATCCATCTGAAAACAACAACTTTCTGGCCTATGTCAGAACAAACTTTGCCAAGAAAAAATTATGTCACTTCCAAGAGATTCCTAGTTTTGCATTTTTCCAATTCTAAGGTGTTCTCCCTCAGAGGGAGGATTTTCATTGCTTATGCAACCTGAATCTGCCCAAGCCCAACTGCTGCACAGGGGGAGATGCATGCCTTGTTAGGCTTTGGTCTGGACCACCGCAGCACCCTCCTGCCTCTGTTAAGACTAAAAGCAATCTAATCTACCTGTCTAGACAAGGCTCTGCTCTAGTCTGATCCCTCTACTTGGTGTTGCTTGTGACATCCAGAAATTTGACAAGGAAAGCAATTATTGATCAGTCCAAGGTGTGTTTTGCTGTGATAGTTGTCTAAGCATGACTGAGTGATGCCCCAATAGATAGGTGCTTTCTTATTTCCTAAGGCATGTCGTCCTCAAAGCAACAGAAACATTGATAAGGAAGAAGACAAAATTACTAACTTTGATGAAGTTTGTGTTGAAGTACCTGCCACTTGTCAACATGGGAGGCAGAAGCAGTGATTTATTAGTAATAAAAAAAAAGAAAACCAATGAAACTCTCTTACTCTTCTTCTAAACTGTTTTCTGACTATGAATATCCACTGACTTCTCATGTTGAGAAATTACTGCCCCATTATTTTGTGTTATTTTTGTAACTTGTCACATACATGATAACACATATTTTACTTTAAGAGTTTGAGTAACTTCTGTCTGTTAAGGAACCTTGCCAGTAAAGTCACTGAATGGAACAGTATCTATGGAGAAGTCAAATTGTGGTCATTTAGATTTTCTTTCTGTTGTTTAGAATCTAAATATTTTTACGATATTGAAGAGAATGTAAATGAATGCACAGATATTTGGTGATGTTTCCTATTCCCTGAACCCATACCAAACACAGACCTTTAATTTCCCCTGCAGAAAAGGACTTGGGGATGCTGGTTGATGAGAAACTGAACTTAAGCCAGCAGTGTGTGCTCACAGCCCAGAGAGCCAACCATATCCAGGGCTGCATCAAAAGGAGCATGACCAGCAGGTTGAAGGAGGTGATCCTGCTCCCCCTCTACTCTTGTGAGACCTCATTTGGAGTACTGTGTACAGTTCTGGTGTCTTCAACCTAAAAAGGACATGGAACTGTTGGAGCAAGTCCAGAGTTGGTCCACAAGGATGATCAGGGGGCTGGAGCACCTCCCGTATGAAGATAAGCTGAGAAAGTTGGGCCTGTTCAGCCTGGAGAAGTGAAGGCTGTGTGGAGACCTCATAGCAGCCTTCCAATATCTGAAGGGGGCCTACAGTGATACTGGAGAGGGACCCTTCATCAGGAACTGTAGTGACAGGACAAGGGGTAATGGGTTTAAACCTGAGGGGAGATTTAGGTTAGATATAAGGAAGAAGTTCTTTATTGTGAGGGTAGTGAGGCATTGGAATGGGTTGCCCAAGGCAGATGTGAATGCTGCATCCCTGACAGTGTTCAGCGCCAGATTGGATGGAGTCTTGGGTGACATGGTTTTGTGCGAGGTGTCCCTGTCGATGGCAGAGGGGTTGGAACTAGATGATCGTAAGGTCCTTTCCAACCCTAACTATTCTGTGATTCCATAATTCTGTGAATTTACCCCCACTGTTTTAATGAGAGTAATTTCATTTGGATTAATCCTTTATTTCAGGCTCAGCTCTGCATTGGCACTCTGCAGAATTCTGACTTCCGTATCAAGAGGAGCACTGAGAGGAATTAGCCTCCAGAAAGTCAAAAATACATCAAAGTACTTCCCTAGAACATGGTGGCATGTACAGAGTTGGGGTACTGCCACCTATAGGAGGAAGTCACATATCTTTTACTGCTTTTGAGCCTTGAAGACCAAAGCTTCTTCAGAATCACAGACATGCTACTGGGGCATGGAAGAGGGATGCAATTCATGGATCTGTGGTCTTCCCTTCAGTGCATATACATGGTAAATAGATGCGCATAATCTGATCAATGAAGGGTGTAGCTCTTGACATATTTCTATCATCAGAACACAAAACATACCAAAGCCAAAATACAGACCCTCAAAACCATATATCACTTGGTTTAACTGGAATCTAAGAAAAGTGAAAGTGTTAGAAATAAGAAGAACCTATCACAACAGCACAATGCTTTTAGACAGAAATTAGCCATCTGTCTGCCTTCCTATCTGTAATTTAAAGAATGAAGCTATGTCTATGTCAAACAAGTATTTTTTTTTCCCCAGAGGACACAGAGTTTAATCAAGCTTCATTACCTTAGTAACCTTTTTGTAAATGGTGAGGCATAACTGACTTCAGAGTAGGACTGAAAAACAGAAGATATTTAGGTTCAAATCTGGATGTAAAGATGTCAATCTCACTAATGAAAGTTAGCGTGAGTATATATATTGATTTTAAATTGAGCATTTTTCTATTTTCTGTGCAAGCAAGGAACAGGTCAGACGTTGAAAGCAGAAAAGCAAAGTAAATGCCTGAAGGAGGTCTCATTCCGTGCTTTAGGTCTCATTCTGATCCTGTCAACATTTCATCAGCATAACTCCATCAGTCAGATTTACACTACTGTTTTGATGGAAATGAAAATGATTTAGTAAAGCTTTCTTCAGACATTGTTTTGTCTGAAAACCTTTATACTTCCTTTATTTTCCTTTTTTGTTCTCCCATTTTTAAACAATAAAGCATCAATAAGACGTCAGTTTATTTGCAGGTCTTGGAATATTTTCACCTTGCACAAAAGCACAGTGGTTGGAATCTGCCCCTATATTCTGATTCATCAGTTACTTTCATCATAATAAATAAGGGTAGCAAACAATGTAACTTTTTTTCTTTTTGTGCCACATGCAATTACATCTCTTTTAAGTGGTCTGATAATTGCATTTTAAATGGCACTTGTTTATTATTCTCTTTTTGTCATATCCAAATTGATTTTCATTGTTTTACTAAATACTAACTAAAGCCCTGTGAGGGAGAAAAAAGCCCCGGTTTCAAGCAAACAATTCAAGTCTGTAAGTTAATCTGTACCTTTACATAAACAGCAATAATTAATGGGAGTTCGGCACCTTGCTGTACTGTGCAGTGACAAGGATCAAACAGTTGCACTGCAAAATGCCAGTTTTCAGCTTGTGCACTTGTAGACCCTTCAGACCATGAACTGACATTTGCAATCTTTGTCAGACCACAGCAAAAAAAAAAAAAAAAAAAAAAGGAAAATCCAGTTAAATTTAGTTCTGCCATTCAAATGGAATGAAGGTCATCACCTGCCCTGTTTCTGATTTGATTATCCAGGGACTGAGATTGTTTTCCTAAAGAAAGACACATTAAAAGGGCCTGATTCTGCAACTACTGGCCCATCTCAGCAGCTCAACTTGCTTAAATTATTCATCATTAACTGACTTAGCTATTGCTGTTTATTTAAGAGTGGAGATTAATATATAGTCCAGAACTGTTTGCTTAAGTGTTTTTCCTTTGCTAGAGCTCTCATAACCATTCTGAAAAACAAATATATTTTGAAATTATGAATATATTAAATAAATATCATTTATAATTCAATTACCTGGCTTTTTGAAATGCTGTAGTTATGTATGGTTTACATTACTCAAAATATTTTTATTGACTTCATTTAACCACTCATGTAAATAAAGACTTCAGGTTCAATCGCTACACCCAAGAGAAAAAGAAAACTCTGAAGCAAGCTCCTGAAATCCAAACTATTAGGTGGATAAAATCCAGACAAAAGCAGAATGCTTGTAAGGACAAACATGCTTGTAAGGATATACAGAAAACATAAGCTCCACAATCCTCTTTGCATGCTGATCCCACCTTTGTGATGTTCTCGTCTCTTGTATTCACAGAATACCTGAAGTTTGGGGGATTAAGAGGCGGATAAGCATATTTTTTTTGGCCCAGTACTTCTTGTAAGTGGATTTTTCTGAGGTTACCCTGAGACTGACTTGTGGTAGAAGCCTGAGTCAAGGACAGAGCAATGCCAGTGCTAGTCTGAGCAGAGCAAACGTCTGTCCTGGGGAGGTGGACTACTTCATAGATTAAATACTATCTGTAACAGGGACAGTCCTCACTTCTTACCTGCCACACTGAACTCCAGAACTCTTCTCTTCACGGGGACAGTAACATCAGGAGCAATCTAAAGATCTCAGCAGAACCGGCAATTTGGCCTTGAGTATTTCCTACAGGAAATAGGACCAAGGCTGTATTTGCTAATGATTTAAGCAACATTTAAGACACAAGGCCTCCATGGATAATATTAAGGACTGCTAAATAGCTAGCATATAACCTGCTATTTGAACACACAAGCAAATGTTTATAAAGCATTTTTTCACCATGCTGGACCAAAGAACAGATGTGAGAGGTGCACCATAGGTCAGGTTCCAGCATTGCAGTGCGATGGCATGAAGTAAAAGAGCTCACTCATTAGCATATGAATCAGCTCTCCATAGAAAGTGGTAGAACTGCAGGAGAGGAAAAGCCATTTTGCTTTAATAATAACAGCCTGTAAGAGGCAATCCCAGGTACAAAATGATCAAGTGACCAGAGCCAGTTCAGTGAAGAATGACAGCATTTTATGCTCAACACTTCAAGATTAAAGTCTTTCGTTAGCTAAGCATAATGTGAATCAGTTTCATGTATAATGTATTGTGTGAGCCTGTACCCAGTATGATACAATGTAAGCAATTCCATTTAGTGCAATTTGACTATAGCTAGTACAGAATAACTGGAGTCAGTTTCTAGCATGCTAGAATTTGAATCAAATATGATATGGAAAAGAATTTGATACATAATAATATGGAGGCAAAGATAACAAGCAATGATGTGAATGAATAGTTAATATGCTATAATACAGAAGTCCTTTTAATAGGTTATGATGTGATTAGGAGTCCAGTGTTCTTATATGCAGATGAAAGCCTAATACATCATGGTAAAGAAGACTATTAAGGAACTGTATAAATAATGGTACATAGCTGCATTTGAGGAAAGCACAACCTCAAATACTGCAGTTTTCTCAATCTAAAAGTGAGGGAGTAAACATTTACTGGAGGATAAAACATTGCTACTCAAGTGAACATGGGAAATGTTCCAGAGCAGTTCCTCGCATTTCAGGGGCAGGGTAATGTGGCACTGGGTTATTCCAACTCCTCCTCAAAACCCCAGCCCTTTCTCTTAATTTTCTCCCACTGCCAGAAGCAGTTCTGACAGTTGTAGCCCCTTTGATACTCTGGGCCTCTATTTTACAATCTGCTGTGCAAATACTATGGTCTGAAGACCTCCTCTTCCATAAGGTTAATAATGTATGATTAGTTAAAGAACTACAGCACTTTATAGCAAGTACATAAACATTAACATGGCAGATCCACACGTAAACATCTTTGGCTTTCTAAAACAACTTCAGAAAAATGCAAAAATATGCTACTGTTGTGACTGTGTTGGGTTTAAATCCAACAGCCGCTAGTTCACTGGAATTTCACTTTTTTTCCCTCTTGCTAGCTTTTCATGAGGCTAACCCTGTGCACATGGGAAGGGCTCATTTATGAGCATGTGCTAATCAGTTCTGACTACAAGTTAAAGTCATCCCTGAGCAAACAGAAAACTATTCAGCTTAGCAATAAAGTTAAATAATTATTACCAGGCTATGTGATGTGACTACAATGTGACATTGAAATGACTATGGTGTGATTAGAATAAGAATGCTATATGTCTGGGATGTTACTAGAATGAAGCTATAAAACGTCTGTGATGCCATACTGCTGTGATACGACTAGTGTCAGGAAAAATGTGTGCATTATTAACGCATACATAAACATGCCATATTTCAGAAGCAGTCTGCATTACACAGAATGCTAGTAGTTCTAATTATCTTTGTTATTAATGGCTGCTCTGCTTTGGATTTTAAAAGACAAAAAGAATTGCATGCTTAATTCATTCACAGAATTCTTTTCCTAAGTGGTTTGGTAATAAGATTGCTCCTTCATGTCACTTGCTTGACTTTCAATGCTGGGGCTCTAGCCATCCTTCCTGTATTACACAATGAACATTTTTCTTGAACTATTATTAGATTCAATAATAGCAATTCTGTTTGCTGCCATTACTTGATGTCATCAAAACCAAGATCAATTTTTCTATGTGTGTCTGTAACAGGAGTCTTTTGGACACAAATACAAAGCACAGCAAAACTAAGTGTTTAATCTTTACACATCGTAGGATTACAGGATGTGCGATGTTTTGCACATACAGCATCTGCATCTGCTTGACTAGCGAGGATATGTACATTTATCAGTGTGTACCTCACAATACCAAGCCATGCAAATTACTGACCTCTGACAGATAACAAGCAGCTTCCACCACCAGTTAACAGCGTGTTGTATGTGCAGACGCATATAGGAGTCTGAAGGTAGAAGCCTGCCTCTGAAAACATAAAATCTTGACAGTGGAAACTCGGGGTTTTTTTACTTGGCCAATGCGATTGGCTGAAAATGTGTATATTATCTGGATATAGTGCCGCGTACAGAAAAAGTCAAATGCCAATCTTATCTTTGGTTTTTGTACGCATGTATATTTGAAAGCAGCAACCAGCGTGGCCACGTACCTGGGCATATTGAATTGGGTAAGTACTGTGTCATGCAGCTCGGAAGTTCAAGCTGAGAAAAGCTAGCCATTAAAAACACAGTCAAACGAAGGTTCATTCATGCTTCAGAAAATGTTGAAAAAGGCACTACATATAATGCACTAGACTATAATCATCATCTTGTCACACTTTTGAGGTCACTCATATCGCAATACATTGGCATTTTATTACACTGTCTTCCAGGTGTGTGATGCTTCTTTGTGGCTAGCTGGGCAATTTACCTGTGTCATTTATGGGGAAGGCGAAACAATCACTTTTATTATTTATCAAACCGGAGGGAGAATGTTTCCCCATTCAACGTTTAAGCAGACAAACCCCGAACCAGCAGAGCAGCTCACCCCCTCCTTCAGCACGTATCTCGGCTGACCCTTCGGGAAGGGGAAGGAGAAAGGTGTGCGGCCGTAAATGGGCGCCGAGACGGGGCTGGAGTCAGAGTCTTGTTAATTATAAATGAAAAGCCATGTATTAAACATAAGCTCGCACCGCGCGGAGGCGGGCCGGGACACAGTATTTCCTCCGGGCCTGCGCGGCGCCGGGCGGTGGACCCGCGCCACGCTGCGGAGGCTGCGCGGACACCGCGCGGACACCATAGGTCTGCTACGGCCCCGCTCCCCCACGCAATGGGGACCCAGCACGCTCCAGATCACACGCAAATCTCTCCAAAACCCCCACCACCAACCCCAACCTGCATCAAACCCTTACTTCCCGGGCACTCCTAGGGGGACTCTCAAGCTCGACGACCCTTTAAGCCCACCGGGGTGGCACCGGACCCTGGTGCGCTCCCCTTAAACCCTTCCATCCTTCCCCCGCCGCGCTGCGCCCCCGACCGCAGAGCTCCCTCCCGCCGGATCGCCGCGACACCAACTCCACGCCCGCCTCCGCGTACACCCTCCCGCTTTTCCCCGTCCTCAGTCTCCGCGGCGCAACGCCGCACATCCCCCCGCACCCTTCCGCAGATCGCTGCGCGTCCCGGCTGCACGCCAACCCCCAGCCGCCCAGGGGAGCGACGTGCCCTTCTGCCAATGGCAGGGCCGCGTTCCGCCCATGCCCCGCCCTTGGCAGTACGGGCCAATGGGGTGCGGCGGGAGGGGCGTTCCGGTGTTGCTCACACCCTCCCTCTGGGCTTATTGAGAGTTATATCAAGAATTTCGGCTCAGAGAGACGAGAGAGCGTGTGGCAAGGGGGGAGGGAGAGAGGCTGGGAGGGAGGAGAAAGAGGAGGCGGCGGGGGGAGAGTGCCTCGCTTCCTCCCGTCACTAGAGCAACAACCTATTAGGATTTCATTTTTTTATATTTTTTTTTTTCTGAATTCGTGGGCTACTATCGCCCTAGAGATAAAGAGGGAGAAGAGAACCACCGCCAGACCAACTCCTGTCATTTCCAGTAAGAAGTTGCACGCTTCACGTAGCTGCCTCTTGCTCTACTGAGAGGGGTATGGGAATTGCGTGCAGTGCAGAGTGGAAAATACCCCCCGTCTAAAGAAGTGCACCGGATTCTTTTTTTTTTTTTTCCCTTTTTTTCCTCTCGCTGTTTGTTTGGGTAGTTACGTGCGCGTTTAACACCCAAAGGATCGTCGTTTAACGGGAATAAAATGTGGAGAGGATGACTGACGGCAGAACTGGGAATTTGTTCCCTGGAGTTGCTGCTTTGCCACCCCGAAGCAACACATACCTCGAGGAGGAAGCGTTTGGCAGCTGCTAATTTCTCCAAAACTGGTGGTTTACCAGATGCATTGTGCTGTATCTGCTGGAACAGATCACTGCTTAGCCGCAGCAGATCCTCAAAGGTAGACGACCAACGTAAGTGCAAAGTTACCCATACACTGTACTGCATTTGATTTAAAGAAAGAGAAAAAGCCACCTCGCAGTATATTTATCTAGGGAAAGGATCAGTGTTTCCTATTCAGTTGATGTTGGTGGCAAAATCTCACCTACTCGCTGTCTCTGCATCCCTACCTGCATCACTCTGATGGAAGTAATCACGGGCACCGTGCAGCTTAATGCAGATAAGATTAGTGCTTAAGGGCTGCCCGGTTCCGCCGAGCTGTAGGTGCTGGCAGCCTTGCACCCAGATAATTCGTGGTTAGCACAGCATGCAAGCAGAAGTCTGTCTGTTGCTTTCTCTTTTTTCTTTTTTTTTTAATATATTTTTTTTATTCCTTCATGTGCATTATTAGTCTGCAGTATTTATGTGTGGCAGCTGTTAATACCATCCTGAAGGGAGATCAGTGTCAATGGGGAAAGGCTGCACCTTTTTCTTCCTCTCATCATCAGAGAAGATAATCCATCCCCCCCCCCCCCATCTGTAAGCATGCTGGCTGCTCCTAAGTTACATTTGGAATTTCCAGCCTCCTTATTTAGACTGTGTTTAAAAACAACCAAATAAAGTTTAAGGTTATTAAACAGAAAGAGAAGTATCCAACATCTGGAGGGGAAACACTGAGCTGAGAGTGTAAGAAACTGTAAGTCCTGTTATTGTCTCATCAGTTAACAGGGATATGAAGTAGCCAGTGACGACTGCTGCAGCAGCAGCATGTCCGGGTGGTTATTTCCCAGTATGATAGCTATAGAGAGGGATGCAAGACACAAGAAGCAGAGAAAAATCTCGTTAGTAAGAGCTAAAAAATACGTGTGGAAGCAAACAACAAATTACATTTGGCAACTGACATAGCAGTTAAAATCCAGAAGTATTGTGGGAAGATTTTTCACTTGCACCAAATGACTGGGTGGAGGAGGGTAGAGGGGAATGCACATTTATGGATTACACAGTGTGCCAAGAAATTATTCTGAAAGTACGTGTCAAAACAGTAGATACCCTCAAAACTGCAAGTAGTCATTTCCGTCCTCGCTCTGTGCAAATGCAGCAGACGGGATATTGGTGCATTTGTCCGGAGGGTTTGCTTGTAAAAGGGAGAAGTAGGAAAATGTACTGCTGCAAGTGTGCATTGCAAAAACAATATTAGTTTGAGATCGTGGATCTGTCATTCATAAAAAAACAATAATGCTGTTCTGTGTGGTTGTGTTGACAGTGCTGTCTCCAAGTAAGAAATGAGATGTAATGCATCCTGCAGTCCATGCATGCCTTCTCTTGCAAATTGCGCATCATTCTTCTCTGGAAACCTTTAAGTCCTAAAATCCGGGCAAAGAGAATAAAAACATTATCATGGACCTGAGAAATTTTTACCTGTTGGCTGCTTTGATTGCCTGTTTGAGGCTGGATTCTGCTATAGCTCAAGAACTTATTTACACTATTAGAGAGGAGCTTCCTGAAAACATACCCATAGGGAACATACCAAAGGACCTGAACATTTCTCATATCAATGCTGCCACGGGGACCAGTGCCAGCCTTGTCTACAGACTGGTGTCTAAAGCAGGGGATGCGCCTTTGGTCAAAGTGTCCAGTAACACTGGGGAAATCTTTACGACATCTAATAGAATAGACAGAGAAAAACTTTGTGCTGGAGCTTCATATGCAGAAGAAAATGAGTGTTTCTTTGAACTTGAAGTGGTGATTCTCCCCAATGACTTTTTTAGGCTGATCAAAATAAAAATCATTGTAAAGGATACTAATGACAATGCACCTATGTTTCCATCTCCTGTCATCAATATTTCCATCCCAGAAAACACTCTGATCAACAGTCGCTTTCCAATCCCGTCAGCAACAGATCCTGACACAGGTTTCAACGGTGTGCAGCACTATGAGTTGTTAAATGGGCAGAGTGTGTTTGGACTGGATATTGTAGAAACTCCAGAAGGAGAGAAATGGCCTCAGCTGATTGTGCAGCAGAACTTGGACAGAGAGCAAAAGGACACCTACGTGATGAAAATCAAAGTGGAAGATGGAGGTACCCCTCAGAAATCCAGCACAGCCATCCTGCAAGTCACAGTAAGTGATGTCAATGATAACAGGCCAGTGTTTAAAGAGAGTCAAGTAGAGGTTCACATACCAGAGAATGCCCCTGTAGGTACCTCTGTAATTCAGCTTCATGCTACTGATGCAGATATAGGAAGCAATGCAGAAATCAGATACATTTTTGGTGCCCAAGTCGCCCCTGCAACCAAAAGATTTTTTGCTTTAAACAACACCACAGGGCTGATTACAGTTCAGAGGTCCTTAGATCGAGAAGAGACTGCTATTCACAAAGTGACAGTGCTGGCTAGTGATGGTAGCTCTACACCAGCCCGGGCCACTGTTACCATCAATGTCACAGATGTAAATGATAACCCTCCTAACATAGACCTCAGGTACATAATAAGTCCCATCAATGGCACAGTGTACTTATCTGAGAAAGATCCCATCAATACAAAGATTGCCCTAATTACAGTTTCAGATAAGGACACTGATGTGAACGGCAAAGTGATCTGTTTCATTGAGAGAGAGGTCCCCTTCCACTTGAAGGCGGTTTACGACAACCAGTACTTATTAGAGACCTCTTCCTTGTTGGACTATGAGGGCACCAAAGAATTCAGCTTTAAAATTGTTGCTTCTGATTCTGGCAAACCCAGTTTGAACCAGACTGCCCTGGTAAGAGTTAAACTGGAGGATGAAAATGACAATCCTCCGATTTTCAGCCAGCCTGTAATTGAGTTGTCAGTTTCTGAAAACAATCGGCGTGGTCTATACTTAACAACTATTAGTGCCACAGATGAAGACAGTGGGAAAAATGCAGACATTGTGTATCAGCTTGGCCCTAATGCCTCCTTTTTTGATCTGGATCGAAAGACAGGAGTTTTGACAGCCTCCAGAGTTTTTGACAGAGAAGAGCAGGAGCGTTTCATTTTCACTGTTACAGCCCGAGACAATGGCACCCCTCCTTTGCAGAGTCAAGCAGCCGTAATTGTTACTGTGTTGGACGAAAATGACAACAGTCCCAAATTTACTCATAACCACTTCCAGTTTTTTGTATCAGAGAACTTACCAAAGTACAGCACAGTGGGGGTGATCACAGTGACTGATGCAGATGCTGGGGAAAATAAAGCAGTGACCCTTTCCATCCTGAATGACAATGAAAACTTTGTGCTGGATCCATACTCTGGAGTTATAAAGTCCAATGTTTCCTTTGATCGAGAACAGCAGAGCTCCTACACTTTTGATGTTAAGGCAGTGGATGGAGGGCAACCTCCTCGCTCTTCTACAGCAAAAGTAACCATAAATGTCATGGATGTTAACGATAACAGCCCTGTTGTCATCTACCCACCTTCTAACACTTCTTTTAAGCTAGTGCCACTCTCAGCAATTCCAGGATCTGTGGTAGCTGAAGTCTTTGCTGTGGATATAGACACTGGCATGAACGCTGAGCTTAAATACACAATTGTAAGTGGAAATAACAAGGGTTTGTTTCGGATTGATCCAGTGACAGGTAATATCACTCTGGAAGAAAAACCGACTCCTAATGATGTGGGGCTGCATCGCTTAGTTGTCAACATAAGTGATTTGGGTTATCCCAAATCCCTGCATACTCTTGTGCTTGTGTTCTTGTACGTAAATGATACTGCTGGAAATGCCTCTTATATTTATGACTTGATACGCAGGACTATGGAAACACCTTTGGACCGGAATATAGGGGACAGTAGCCAACCCTACCAAAATGAGGACTATCTCACAATCATGATTGCCATTGTGGCGGGTGCCATGGTTGTCATAGTGGTGATATTTGTCACTGTTCTTGTTCGCTGTCGCCATGCATCCAGATTCAAAGCCGCCCAGAGGAGCAAGCAAGGTGCTGAGTGGATGTCTCCCAATCAGGAGAACAAGCAAAACAAGAAAAAGAAAAGGAAGAAAAGGAAATCTCCAAAGAGCTCTCTTTTGAACTTTGTGACCATTGAGGAGTCCAAACCTGATGATGCAGTACATGAACCTATCAATGGGACAATAAGCCTTCCAGCGGAGCTGGAGGAGCAAAGTATAGGAAGATTTGATTGGGGCACAGCACCACCAACAACCTTTAAGCCTAACAGTCCTGATCTTGCCAAGCATTACAAATCTGCCTCTCCACAGTCTGCTTTTCATCTCAAACCTGACACTCCAGTTTCAGTGAAAAAGCACCATGTGATTCAGGAACTCCCGTTGGACAACACCTTTGTTGGTGGTTGTGACACCCTTTCCAAACGCTCTTCCACTAGTTCAGATCACTTCAGTGCCTCAGAGTGCAGTTCCCAAGGAGGCTTCAAGACAAAGGGCCCCTTACACACCAGACAGGTAAACGAGCACTTTTACTGGTCTATAAGTACTGCATACAAGTGCCCAATCAACCAGTATTAAAAGTGCCCCCGTGTTGTGGTTTGTTTGTTGTTTGTTTCAGTCTAATTTCACTTAGTTACGTCATGGGGGGAACAAAAAAAGCCCAACAAAATCAAACAACCAAAAAAAATCGACCCCTTTATCATTTACCTGGGGCTTAACCATGCATTTATGCAATGCCTCTGATACTTTGGGTTTTGAAGAATACTGGTTGTAAAAGGACTATTATGCATGTGCACATACATGTGCTTATACAAAACTGAAAAATAAAAAGACTTTTTTTTTTCTCCCCAATATATGACTATCCAAATGTAAAAGCTATTGAAGAAGAAAAACAGCTTCCTTATATGCTAAATTTCAGTCAGAAAATCTGAGTGTTTCAAGATTGAAGGGGTATGTACCTTCAGTTTCAAATTTCAAAGTGAGTTGGCTTGAGTTTCTTTCACAGTTCATTCTGCTTTGGAATCTTGCTAAGTTAGTGTTACTAAAGGGGTTAAATATTTTTTACCCTTAACAAAGACAGCCAAATCTCCAAGCTACTTCATCTGTGAAGCACGTGGTTTGTTGGTAGGATATAACTAAGCCATACAGAAGTCTTCCTCTGTTTTGTGTTCAAAATGATTTTGTTGTAATAGATGAAAGTTGGTATCGCATAGACAGTTTGTTGCATATTTTAAAAAATGGCCAAAGCATACTTTTGAAAATAATGCATTCTCTGAATACATCTGAATTATGCAGGAAACAAAAAAAAGCACATTGTAAATATTTTCTCCGTAATGCGTAAACGATCTGTCATATTTTGTTTTAAACTGTGAAATACACCATGTGAAGAGGGATTAGGAGGCTGAGAAACTCATATTTCGACCAAATCCAATATTAGGTGTCTTTTTCTTTTTTTTTTCCCTTCTCCTTAGGTCTAATAATTCCTTGCTAATAAAGATTTAAACGCGGTGCTGTCTAATTTATTTTGTTGGTGCTTGTCTCTTGGCGCTGGGTCGTCGTGCCGGCTCAGCCTGTAGATGGCGCTGAGGTACCACGTCGCCGGCGCTGGCCCGGTGCCAGCCCTGCAGTAGCTGGGGAATGGGGGATGGAAGGGGAAGTGAAAGGAAGGAAAAAGAGGGATCAAGCCAATATTACAGCCAAAGAGCCTGTTATTTAATGAGAGTTGCACTGGGGCGGCCAGTAGTTAAGTTTGTGTGTTTGCAAGGCAGCATCCTCAGCACTTCACTTTGGCTTGCGCTGACTTCGTAGGTGTTAGGAGCCACGTTCATATTCCCCTGGCACTGTATTCTCCAAGTGACTGTGATTTGTCTGAATTTATTAGGGATATGAATCCTAGAGAATCAAGTGAGATGCATTTAGGCTTGTCTTTGCAAAAGGAATTTGACAGTATCCAAGTTTAGGGTAAAGTCATCCTATTGCTGTTGCATTAGCCTTATCTGAGATGAATGTGATGTTCCCAGAACTGTGTCTTGACTTTGGGTTGTCTGTAAGGTGTCACACTAACAAGATGCTAAGAATAAAACAAGCACTTTTAAGGCAGTTCTTCTAAAGTAACTGCTCTAAAACAACTCGTACTTACAGTGAGACATTGGAAACATTGCAGTAGATTCTCATGAAACCTTAACCTTTCTAAAGATTTTAAGGGTAGAATCCCAGAGCCATTTTCAGGCTGTTGCACTGTAGCTTACACATACTGTCAGCATAAGTTAAAAAAAAAAAAATTTAAAAAGAAAACCCAACAAATTTATAGAAGAGCTCTGCATAACCTGTGAATAATCAGATGAAGCTTTCTTCCCAGTTTTAGTTAAATGTTAACACCCACAACCCACACTTTCCTTTTCTGTTCTGAAAGCTTTAATTAGCTTTCCAAACTGTATTTAGGAATCTCAAACTTAATCCCCCACAACATTTACAGGCAGTTAAGACCCCAAAAATTATTTACCTGGCAGAATGTATAAATTCCACGCAGTGCAATTGAATGGGGGGGGGGGGGGAGAGGGAGAAGAAGAAGGAAGGAAAGCTGAACAAAAAATACTAATAGTATTCTCAGTTTTACCTGTGTTACTTACATTAACATGTACATGGTTTCGGTTTAATAATAGTGTCAGTCAACATACCTGTATATGGACCTGATTCAAATTCCACTGAAGTTTTATAGAATTCTTTTTGAAGTCAGCAGATACTCATGTGATTTGAAGCACTCCCTGCAAAAACTTGCATGTTACTGAAAATACAACTTTTTCTTAGGCAGACACTTATCTTAACTGAGCTTCTGTATTTTTATTCCATGGGGAAAGGAGATAATGTCCTTCCCCCACCCAGTGAGGAGAGTTACAGGACATAACATTTTTCAGCCCTCTTGTCACTTTTGGCTGGAGGAGTATAGCCAGCAATGGTAGTAGTCATTAGCAGCCTTCTTATTATTCTGTCTGTAATTCCTGAAATTAGGTTGCATTTTAGCTAATATTCAGTTATCAGAGGAGTTAAATACACTTTCATAAGTGTTTTGGGGTTAGATTTGTGATAGTGTATGGCTTTAAACAAAGTATTCAGACTTAAAAATATTACTGAATAGTAGTGTTTGCTAGTGCCATAGTGTCTGAAAAACATTTCTGAAAATTCCTTTAGGAAGAGATGTTTATTAGTTCTGTGCTACTGTACTGTTTTCTTGAGATTTAGTGTAATTAATTTCTCTGTATTTAATGTTAAAGTTGAATTAAGTTACCTGTATATTCCACAAGTTTTCTTTTTGTGTTTTGCAAAGGGTGAGGGAATTGAGGAGGATGTTAAGATAGGGAAAGAAGAAACAGGGTTAACATATATCTGAGAAATACTAGCATCCTCCATTTTTGCTTGCAGTTTCTTTCAGTCCAAGGTAAATACACATGCAATGTATCTTGCAGATACATTAATAGAGCTGAGACCTAAGTCAACATTTGGACTTCATTCAAGCAGAATCCCGTTACTTTTAGTCGGAGGTTGGTCCTAGAAATCTGTTAAGAACTGGGTCTTAAGTCAAAAAGCTTTTAGAATTCACAAATAGATACGTCAATACAGATTTCTTAGTTGGGTGGTTTTGGGCGATTTTTTTCTGTTGTGGTTTTTTTTTTTTTTTTGCTGGGCAATTTCTGTGCAATTGTCTATAAATTTAGTGGAAATTCTGTGGTTAAGTCTTTGTATGTCACTTTGAATTGCACAGGCTGATGTTTCACAAGTACCCAGCATAAAAACCAAAGTCGTCTTCAAGTGCCTATCTTGCAGTAAACCTGGTGGATGCTCTGAAAAGAGCATTTTTGAATACTTGAATTTGGGATTGTTCTAAATGCTAATTCACATAATTAGGAGTATGGAAAGGATATTGCATACCACCAGCTTGTATAGCTAAGCTTCCAAAATCAGTGTTATGACTCATAAAGGATACTGAAATCTATGCAGGCTTCTCAATCAGTGTTCTTTTCAGTATTTGATTGAACTTTAAAATTCATTTCAAATTAGTAAGTTACTACACCAAACAGCTACATAGAAATACAGTAGAAGACAACATGTTGTATTCTTCTGTGTGAAAGACCTTTTATAAAAAGCAAATAAACAGACAAAAAATTCTGACTCAGTGTCATTAGATTAACAATGGATTAAATGATAGAAGAAATTAGGCCCAATTTACTGTGGTTATCCCAGTGTTAAATTTTAACAACTTCATTTAATCAAAGTACAGCAGTAAACAAGTAACACACACACACACAGAAAGTATCAGTATGAGTTACTAGCAAAACCTTCAGTCTTCATTCCTAATCAAATAGCATTTAGGCATGTGCTTAACTTTAAAGTGGTGGGACTGAAGCAGATCCTTAAAGTCCAAATGACTTCAGGTGTTGTCTTCAAGAAAGACAACCATAAGCACACTCTTAAGCACTTCTCTGAATCAAGATGATAGCTTATAAATTTGGAAGATGTGCACAGTTCTAGTAGATTCAGGAAAGCTAAATATATATTAACACTGTCCTCTTCTGTGCTCTGATGTCAGAAATTAAAAGATTTGGGGCTTGACTGGCACATTAAATGCGTTCCATACTAAGGTATATTTTTAATCATAATAACATGACCTCTGTGGAGCTTGCTTTACTCTTTTTTCAGTCAGTGGACTTCTTGCCTGATCAAGGAACAAGTAGCCGGCTCCCACTGATCAATGCAGATCACTTAAGCTTTCTGTGGCAAACATAATTGATGTTGTCCTACTCTGTAGTTTTTAAATTTATAACTTTGGGGTTTATGTAAGAGAAAAGAGAAGCTGAAAACATTAATGTCTCTTAATTTGATAGACTGAGAGTGGCAATTTCAAGGTGCGTAAATCGATGCATTGGAACAGCAATGCAGAGCCTACGCCACCTGCAAATATTAAAATCCTGTAACCATAGCATTCCGTAATTCAGTGTGTGGTATTATTTTTAGTGGCCTTGTTTTACCACTTAGTAGGTTAAGAAAAAAAAAAAAAACACTGTTGTTTCTTTTTTATGCTTAATTTGTTTTATATATTAGCATGGATATTAGTTTTGGGTGAGAACTGGTCACCCGGAAAAACCTCTGCATGTGAAATCCAGCTGTTTTCTAGTTCTGTATATTTATATACCTATACTAAAATATTAGCAATGGCAAAAATGTACAGTGTATTTTTCTATCCTTGTGTAACTGAAAAATAGGTTAACATATTTTGCTCAACTGTCTAAAGAAATTCATCTTTGAGCTGAGACCAAGCATGGAAAATTTCAGCTGAAAAGAAGAATTTTTCAGAAAGTTAAGAGCATGTGAAAACTGGGGGTTATAATGGAAATCTGAATATAACCCTAAGCTATAATACTGCTTTCAATTGTGACAGGAGAAATGCTAAACTGGATTAGGGAACATTTTGTGTCTACAGATACAGATAGTGAAAGCTTAGCAAGCTTCATTTCTCTTTA